TGTGTGTAACATGGAGGCAGGTGTGTGTAACATGGGGCAGGTGTGGGTGTAACATGGGACAGTTGTGTGTGTAGCATGGGGCAGGTGTGGGTGTAACATAGGGCAGGTGTGTGTAGCATGGGGCAAGTGTGGAGTCCCCTGGCTTGTTTGTCCAGGCCTCTGTCCTCTCCATCACTTCTGGCCTCCTATACTCAGCTCTCTCTGTCACAGCCTTGAATCTTACAAACGACCATCAAAATTATTCCCCCAATGTCACCAGTCAAGAGATACTTGGGGTGCTCCTGACAGCCCTGAGGGCTCTACCTGCTCACCATGACCAGGAAAGCTTTCCCTGGGAATGTTATCTAGGCCTTGGAAACTGAAGGATGGGTAGTATGCACACAGATACGGGGAGGAGTAGCTTGACAGACACCAGCAAGTGCTCATGGGAAGGCCCTGGGTTAGGAGACATGATCAGGCCTGGCAAGGCTGGCAAGTGGAGAAGGTGAAGCTGGACAGGGGAGGGAGCTTTCAGTGCTGGCCTTGATCCTTCCTGTGGTTCAAGCCCTGGCTGGTGTCTGCCGGGATTCTGGTGAGTTTCAGGCACGAGTTTGAAAGCATGCATGTTAGGAGAAGCAAACAGGAGAGGCTGTGGCCATGGAGGACATGGAATTTGGGTTTGGGGACAACATGAGCTAGTGGATCAGTTACTCTGGAACCTGATGTCCAGTAGACTAGAGAGGTTTGAATTTGGATGGATACTGGATGGATGCCATTCCTGGTGAAAGGAAAGAAAGCAGGAACATTTGTGAGGCAAAATCATGAACACAGGCTGAGGAGTAGCAACTAAAGAGCTGTGTGCAACGGCTGCATCTGCTCCTGTGACGGTCCTGTCCCGACAAGCAAGGTGCTACCTCATGTTATCATCCTGCAGATGAGAAAACTGAGACCAAAATGGATCGAGTGACTGGTCACAGTTCTCACCGAACTGGGAGCACAGCTCTGAGCTAGGCAAAAAGAGCAGTGGACAGAAGAGGGCAGGGTTGTCCCCTAGGGAGAGGGACATTCAAGTATCTGTCTCCTGTGATTTCCCCACAGATGTATGCAGTCTGCCACGGGATCCTGGTCCCTGCTTGGCCTACCTTCCACGCTGGTGGTATGACCAAGACACCAAGCTTTGTACTCAATTCATCTACGGTGGTTGCCAAGGGAACCCTAACAACTTCATATCTAAAGATGTCTGTACAACCGTTTGCTTAAACTAACATTGTAAGTGCTGAACTTCCCCAACCTCTCAACCTTCATTCTTACTAAATTTAATCAGCCATCTGAGCATTGGTCCTTTCCAAGACCTGGAGTTGGAAGCGGAAGGACCTGAGGTGGAGGGAATAGCAGGGAGGCAGTAGGCAGAGGTGAGTCATGGGAGTGCAAAGTTAACAGGAGTGGGGTGCATCCTGCCCAGACCAACTCAGAGGAGGAGCACAAGGCCTGCCATGGTCACCACACTGCAGCAACAGGGAGAAAGTGGTGATCAAGAGCTATGGTCATTGAGCCCAGCACTCACACTTCTGCCTTCCCTGCTTGCCAGAGGATGTGGAGAGGATCCCATCCCCTTCCCAGGGCTGTAAGGTCTGTTTCCTAAGGTGACTGAAGCCCATCAAGTCCGCCCTTACCCTTGTGTCTTGCAGACTTGTCTTCCTGGATCCGATAAGGATGAGCTGGAAGAAGCTCCAGGGCTCCTAATCTGAGGCTCTGAGCCCAACACATGCTCTGGATTGGCTGCCAGCTGCCAAGTCTTAGCCACTGAGACTTTGGCTGTTCCCAAACCAGAAGCCCATAATTCGCTTATTCCTTCCCCCTAACCCCAGCTGCTCTTCAAATGTCATGACCTTTGACCTTTGACTCCTTCTCAGTCTGGGACCCTATCACCTCAACTTTCAGGGTTCAAATTTTATTCCTATGAAGACGATAGTTCCTCTTAATAAAGGATCCTGTGGGTTCTGATGTCTCAGAGTCTGAGTAACTCATCTGTTGTCTGCAGGTTGTCCACATCTGTTCACAGTCCTCTGTTTGCAAAATCGCCATTGTGAGTCAGAATAGAAGTGTCTATCATAAGATGCTAAGGAACCGAGCACAGGAAGAGCCAGTATCCTTAAAACTGAGAGACTCGTTTGAAAAGTATTCAGAAATGTGGTAGAAAGTATTTCAAATAAGAACATAATTCACAATTAACTTTTTTAAAGATGCGTGTGTGTGTATGTGTGTGTGTGAGCGCATTTGAATAGAGTCATAGTGGTTATGAGCAGTTTGAAGTGGGTGCTGGAAACCAAACTTGAATTGTCCACAGGAGAAGTCCTCTCTCAGAGCCACTGAGCAATCTCTGCAATATGTTAATTCTATTATTACTTATAAAAAACCTCCTAATTCAGCCTTTATAAAAATGGACTTATGAGGTGTTTGCAAGATAATTCCTCAGGGTGTTATGAGGTCCACTTAAATCCAACATAACTCAAACACCGGGTCAATGCAGATGACAAAAATTCATTGTAATCAGGGTCAGTGCAGGTGACAAAAATTCATTGTAATCAAGCTGCTACTGATTGATCAGGACCACAGAACAGATGCAGGACCTGAACTGCAACAAGAAGCCGGAATGACCCCCAGTATTTAAGCTTGCAAATCTTAAACATCTGTGCAAGTTATTGCTACATTTTCCCACCAGTCAGGATAGTGTTGTTTCCTGAGCCTGGGAACATGACCTTAATTCAACCCTGCCAGCAAGATGGACAAGGTGTCCTTGAGATGGCTGGACTCAGACAACTGTGTCCTTACAAGTTGTCCCTGAGATGGCTGGATTCCAACAGAAGCTGTTCAGCTGTAGGGAAGTCCCCAGCTCCCCTAGGGCCTGGGACCTTGAACTTAGTTTCCCTCTGTGATTAAATTGAGTCTGAAAAGAAAATGGCAGCATTTAGAACAAGTTCATTTTGCTTGTTTCCAACACGGCCAGAAGATAAAGGTGTTTGTTGAGGAAACCTGACAGCCCGAGTTCTATCCCTTTAACGCTCATAAACATGGGAAGAAAGAAGTGATGCCAGTGTCATCTGCTCTCCACTTGTACACTCTTGTCACACCACATACACACACACACAGCTTCACATACACCATATACATATACACTAATAATACTAATACTCAGTGGTAGATCCTAGCATTTTCAAGGGACTGGCGTCTATCCCCAGTGACGCCCATGTACATACATGAGGCATGGCAGGGAGAGATTTGATTCCATTTTACTTTATACTATATCATCACTTAGTGGGAGCATGGGCCATGGCAGATATGTGATAGCCAGAGGTTCATGCTCAGGAGATGCCTCTCCCTAAGCCAGTGAGGTGGTTTGAATAGAAACGGCTTCCACAGGCCCAGAGGAAGTGGCACTATTAGAAGGTGTGGCCTTGTTGGAATATGTCTGGTCTTGTTGGAGGAAGTGAGTCGCTGGGGGCTGGCTTTGGGGATTCAGATGCTCAAGCGAGGCTACTGTCTCCTCCTGCCACCTACACATCCAGATGTAGAATTCTCGGCTACGTCTCCAGCACCATGTGTGCCTTCGTGCCACCATGTCTCCCACCATGATAAGGAGCTAAACCTCTGAACTGTACGCCAGCCCCAGTGAAATGTTTTCCTTTATAAAACTTACCATAGTCATGGTCAATCTTCACTGCAACGAATCCCTCACTAGTGTTAGGGTTACACTCAGTGTTAGGACTAAGCAGTGGAAGGTATCTTGGAGGGACCAAGGTGAGCTAAGAGATCACACCTGGCAACAGATCTAATGAGAGGAGAATAACTTACGTGAATTTTTTTGTTTTAATCATAGGTGTGTGATATGAGGCCGCTTCAGTTTGTCTACAGCCGTTAACTATGATTGTTTTGAGGTCTGGGGAGGGGCATGATTTTGCCAGCTGCTGAGAGTTCAATTCTGGGGACTCTGGAAAGGGAATAAATACCAGAGCCCAGAGACAGACAGGGGTGTTCCGAAGGAGGAAGAGAAGGAGGAGGAGAGGGAAGGGGAGGGGAAGGCTGCTGCTGCTCCCTCCTGCTGCTCTTGTAGTGTTCATGAGCAAAGAGAAGGCCATCTCAGAGCGGAGATATGAGAGAGAGAAACAGAGCACAAGTAGAGAGGGGGGGGGAGATCAAGAAATAGAAAGAATGAAAGAATGAACAAGGCAGAGGGAGCCCTGTGGCGTGCGTGGCTGGGCCCTTTTAAAGCTTTGCAAACCAGTGATGACCATAGCTGCTGGCTTGCAGAGTCCCTGAGGCCAGGCTGGGAGAGCACCCTCTCTTCTATTCATTATAAAAGCTGAGGAATTAGAAAAGGGTGATAGTGAGGCAGAAACGAGGCTGCCATGCTCTTTTGACTGTCTCCTGCTGACTGGGGGTGTCGACATCTTTGGGCCAGAGAGCTAGGATGGTCAAGTCCTGGAAGAGCTGAGTGTTTCCTTTGCTATCCAGGCTGTGGGATCATCTGAGGCTAGGAAGGTACTGGCCTATCTGAAGCAGTCTATGAAGCTGGACCAGCTAGAGTAGCTACTTCGAAGCTGTCCAGGATGCAGATTTTTGAGGGAACACCTAGACCTGAAAGGATGCGGAACAGACTAGGTGTGGTGTATGGGGCAGAAGATAAAGTTAAATTTAGGGGAATCATTTTTTCTTAGGTGTACATTTGAAACTTTTAGGCCCATGGTACTGGTAGTTGGGGGAGGGAACTACAAAACCAGGGAAAGGGGGAGAGATCCCTACCTCAGGAACAGGCAGTAGGCTGTTGATGAACAGGAATACTTATCTGGAGTCCATCTTATACCCTTGAGAGGTGCATTCAAGTTGATTCCCCGAAGCTTTCAAGGACTTCTTAAGCTTACATAGAGAGATAAATTTAGACATGTTAGCATTACCACTGTTTGTAATCTTTACTGCAACCCACATTGTCGAAAATTCAGTAGACTCACACCTTTGAGTCATAATAGAAGCTTAAGGGCCCAAAATGATTTGGGGTTAAAAGCATGAACACGCTTTCCTCTGTCCAGAAGATTGGCTGTATATAGATTGGACAGATGTTTTTAGCACAATGAAAAGCACCTTTAAGTCCATACTTAGAAGACAACCAAAGGAAATTCAAAATCGTGAGCTTGTGACTATGATAATAGTAGTCGCCGGGCAGTGGTGGCGCACGCCTTTAATCCCAGCACTTGGGAGGCAGAGGCAGGAGGATTTCTGAGTTTGAAGCCAGCCTGGTCTACAGAGTGAGTTCCAGGACAGCCAGGGCTACACAGAGAAACCATGTCTCGAAAAAAAAATAGTAGTCAATACTTACCAGAGGTAGATTAATAGCTTATAAGAATTCCATTGATAAATATTAAAACTCTTGCAGTCTTGCTATAACAGTAGCATAGCTAGGGAAAGAAATCTGAAACAGTTTTTATTTTTTATTTATTTTTACTTTTAAAAATATTTATTTAATTATTTATTTTATGTATATGAGTACACTGTTGTTGTCTTCAGACACACTAGAAGAGGACATTGCATCCCATTACAGATGGTTGTGAGCTACCATGTGGCAGCTGGGAATTGAACTCAGAACCTCTGGAAGAACAGTCGGTGCTCTTAACCACTGAGCCATCTCTCCAGCCCACAGCTTTTCTTTTTATATACCTTAAATCACTTTGTCATCTCAAGTTAAGCTTTTGTATCCTCAGACCTTATATAAACTTTACACCTTTTTTTCTTTCCAGTCGTTCACCAGGAGACACAGATGGTTGCTTACTGAGAGCACTCACTGTAAAGCAAGTTTCTTTAAATGAAGGAACAGCAAAAAGTTACTTTGAATCACGTCTATCTCTTTTCTGAGTCCAGTAACAAGGTAAACTGTGTCTAGACCTAGTAGTAGCTCTAAGAGACTGAGGCCTGTGGCCTGATTTTTACATATGAAGAGAGCTAAGAAGTCAGCTGAAGCTCAGCAGCTGCTGATAAACTTACCAGTTTATCCAGCACTAGCATGATCATCAACCGCGTTAGAGACCTGAAAAGGATGAATGTCACCTGAGTAAACAGAAGACCAGACCAAGCAGCTTCCAAATCTATTGAAAATGGCAGAGACTTACCAGCTACCGGGACAGTCACCCTAGGTTCCTCCATGGTCAGCGAGGGGCAAAGGTCTCAGGGCAACATCAGTCTTTGGCTGCAAAGCCCAGAAGATCCCACAGACTGTCCTGTGGAGTAGGAAGCTGGTGGACGAGCTTACCTTCTCTAGGCAAGTGGGGCAATCAACTCCCCAGTGTCTTGCTTGTCCACAGTTTGGGCAGTATCCTGGCAGCAGTTGAGGTGAAGGGCAGTTTTTAGCCCAGTCTAGATTTGCTGTATTTAAAGCAAGCTCCAGGTGAAGGTTCATCTGTGCCCATCATCTTCTTTGAAGGAGATTCTATGTGTTGCCAGGAGCTGTCATGTCTCTCTCTCATAAAAAGCTTTTTTTTTTTGTTAAACATTTTAAATGCCATATTCTGCAGATCTCTGAAGTATTTGAGAATAATGTATCTATTAAGTATCTCTAAACTAGACAAACTTTGCTTGTTTCCAGTTACTTGTTTTAGGCTTAACTTTGAAAAACATTCAGGAGGCTAAATAAGGCTAATTCCTGTAATTAATTGCATTAGAACGTAGCGTAACTACAAGTATAGCTTTGAACACAATAAAGAGTTTGATTATTTATAAGGTGACTGATCATTAATTTGAATTTCTTAATTATCTTTAACACTTTACAGTAAGTTAGTAGCTTTTGTAAGACTAGGACTTTACATAACATCCTTGTTAGCCTTAAAAATGACACTTTATAAATTGAAGCTCTTTTAATCTTAAAATAACTTTAAGTTATTATTTAATAACTTAAAATAAATGAAAATAAATTAAAATAACTTTAAGTTTTATTTAAAAAAACTTTTAATCATAGATAAAGTCCACAGAGAGACTGGCAACTTTACTGATTCTTTTATAGTGTGATGTTATAGAATATTGCAGATTTTTTGGTATGGCTCAATTGATCCAAATATCTAACGATTAAAAGAAAAAAAAAGCTAGAAAATATTACTGGGAACCTGAGTAGACCTTGGGAATTTATATCTATCTTGATTATCAAATATGCCTTATTTATCAAACATAACCTTAAAATTGTATCATCCTATACAGCACATTCTAAGCCAGGGCTGAAGTACATATACAGTATGTTGCAGCAAATATAACCTTAAATTTTTATCACCATAAAAATATCTATAGCAATCCAAAATAATGAGAGTTGATGCTTCCTTAGTCTAAAATGAGGACAATGATAAACAGAGGGCTCATTAGAACTAAGAAGTTTTACAGTTGTTGCTCTATGACACACGGTCATGCAAAGATGGTGGGTACGCCATATGGCATGTACTCTTTAATAACAGTGAAGATGGTTGCCAGCTTAGATCCTGATGACGTCACCAGCCAAGATGGAGGAGAGTCACATGGCTGCTATTATAAAAAATCTGTTTTCCTAGTATCCCCCTCTCCATATATATATAGAGGTGTGTGTGTATATGTGTTATATATTATATATAATTGTATATATATATTATATTATATTTTAAATGAGAGTTGATCCAAGTTACATACAAACATATATAGATTTAAATTCAAGTTATATAGACACATACACACATACATACAGAATTAAATCCAAGCTACAGTCACACACACACACACACACACCAGAGAAATTTCAAGTGAAGAGTTTGATGACACACCATAAGATATTAGAAACCATGACCAAGTCAACCCTCAAATCACTAGACAGAAAGAAGTAGTATCAGTGCGGAAAATAATTATATAGAGATGAAAACACAAAAGGGTTGCTGAGACACTGAGTCAGATCTTGACATTATAAACAATACCGAGAAGACATTGACTGAACTTAACAAAAGGAAATGGATGAAGATCTAAATGAAGGAAGTCATGGATGGAGAAGGAGATATCACAGCAGACATCAACAAAGTCAGATCGCTGGGGCCTACTTAGAAATTTTATATTCACATGCACTGGAAAACCTAGAAGAAAATGAATCGATTTCTAGGCATATATTACTTACTAAAATCAAGCTAAGATGACATAAATACCTTAAACATATTCAAAGCAAGTAATTCTGTTGAAGTGATAATAAAAAGTCTCCCAACAGAAAAAAAAAATCCAGGTTCAGATGTCTAATTCAGTAAAGTAGTAACAACCGGACTCTTTGTGTAAATTAGAAAGTAAGGAATGCAACAGGATCTTTTCACAAATCCAGCGTTACTCTGACTCCAGAATCAGATAGGGATGCAGTAAAGGGGTGGGGTCGGGTGCGGGAGGGAAGAGGCCAACGCCAGCATGTATGTGGAGTCTAGAGCTCAGCCTTGGCTATCATCTCAAAGATGTCAATCACCTTGGTGTTTTGACAGTGGGTATCTCACTGGCCTGGAGATTGACTGGCCAGTCAGTCCCAGGGATCTGCCTGTCTTGGCCTCGCTAGGATGGGCATTCCTGCCTCTGTGCATGGCATTTATGTGGGTGGCATGCTCACAAGCAAACACTTTCCCAACAGACATAGCTCACCAGCCCCTTGACTTTTTTTTTTTTAATGTAGACGCTTGCAGCTATGAATGTTTCTTTTAGAATTGCTTTCATCTTGTCCCAGAAGTTCCATTATGTTGTGTTTCTGGTTTACAAACAAACAGAACAAAAAACAAAATCTCTTTGTAGCCCTTGCTGGTCTGGAATTCACTTTGTAGCCCAGTCTAGCTTCCAGCTCCCAGAGATCCTCCTTGCGTCTACGTGTGGCTAAAGGCACACACCTTGATGTCTGGCTTCTGTTTTCCTTTGATCTTAGGGATTTATATTTTTTCTATGGAGGTTCTAATGATCCACTCATCATGAAGTCCTGTGCTGTCAGAGTGTACTGTGGGCACAGTGGTGCGGATAGCTGGCCATTCAACCCTGAAGAGTGTTTGCACTGTCTACAGTTTTCTTCTTATTGATTTCTAGTTTATTCATCATGATCAGATAGAATGGGAAAACGTATTTCAACACATACACACTCTGTCTCTGTCTCTCCCTCTCTCTCTCTCTTTCTCTCTCTCTCTCTCTCTCTCTCTCTCTCTCTCTCTCTCTCTCT